AGTTTAATATTTGGTAATAATTGTGTGGATGTTCCACAGCACAAAAAAAATTATATATGCTTGTCTAAACATTTTCTGCTTTAGAATTGGTTCATGTTTTAAAATATAGCTTGCTGTTTTCAAATCTAAAAGACAATATCAAAATGCCCTTAATATATGAAGAGTTCAGATGCAAAAGCCTCTAAGTGCCATTTGAAATTTTCTTCTAGAATGATCATTTTTATCAAGCTTGTACATTTAAGTTCAGTGATTTCACTTAATTGGCAATGATAATTACCTATTAATTGGTATTTAAGTGAAATTGCTGAACTTAAATATACAAGTTTGATAAAAATCATCATTAAAGAAGAAAATTTCAAATGGCATTTAGAGGCTTTTGCATCTGAACTCTTCATATATTAAATGAGTCCACCACTTGTTTTGTAAAACATTGTAATCACACAAGAAATAAAAAATTAAAAAAAAAAATGCATTCTACACAACAGGGGCTATCATGCTGAGTCGATCCGGACTACAGGACAAAGCTGTGGAGGAACTCGTCACAAATGTTTTAAAACATGCCCCAGCCCACAGTAAACTACAGGTACAAATATACACTTCTTGTGAGCATTTCACTTAAAAGACTGTGGCAATTGACTATTACTTGTAGGGATGGACCAATACCACTTTATGGAATGAGTATAGTATTTCATTTTTGCACTTGCCAATAGTGTGTACAGTGTACCAATACAAAATCTTGACATTGAATCTTGAAGTTCTGTTCACTCAATTTATTTAAATTGTTTGTCTAGGTGCAGTCAGTCCCAGAAGTGGCGGTCCAGCAACAGGACAATAACCAGCAATTGACGTGAAGACCTTTTTAAAGTGTTTTAAATAGTGTGTTAAACTTTTTTTTTTTTTTTTTGCTTTAATGTACAGTTGTTCATTTTTTCTCATTTGTTTTTAAAGTGTTTTAAATAGTGACATTTATTTTTTTCCCCAATTTGTTATAGTGTCTATTCAATTATGTTCAATAAAATCTGCAAAAACACTTTTCAGTTTTTTCAATTATTCTACATGTTTTTTTTAACATGTTTAACATTAACAATAGTGAATGTTTAAACATGTTTTTACCAATTGTTTGAGTAAAATGTCACAATTTGAACAGTAAAGCTACTTGAAACTAACAAGTTCTGAACAAGAACCACAATTATAGATGTTGCTGTGGCAGTAGTGGCAGGTAAATGGTTGTCAATAAAACCACTGCAGAATGAATATATAATGAAAAAGTCATCAAATGACCAATCCGCGACCAATAACACGGTCGCAAAGTGACGTACTGAAGACGTTGTCACGTTGTCGGTTGGCGACGTCGTAGCGACATCTTTTGATGTTTCACTTTGACAGTTGTGGCGACGTCATATGCTAACGTAAGTGTGACTAAAAATGACCAGCACGTGACGTCGTCACAACGTAATATTGTTTGCTGGGGGTCTACGAGTTATGAGCAGTTTCGCGCAATTGGTTGCTATAGCGCCACCTATGGGCCAATCGGGCTCATAATTTGATAACCTCTCCTCGATTTTTGTACTACCATCTGACAAAGTTTCAGATTTCTAGCACTTACGGTTTGGGCTGCACGATGCGTTTTAAGTCTGAAGAATAATAATAATAAAAATCAGTACAATTACAATAGGGTTTCAGCACTTCGTGCTTGAACCCCTAATAATAAAAATCAATACAAAAACAATAGGGTTTCAGCACTTCGTGCTTGAACCCCTAATAATGGAAGCTGCAACATTGTATATACCACAAAGAATGGCAGGTCAGAAAAACAAAAATATTCCATGGTGGAAGGAAGAGTGCAGTCATGCAATTAAAGAAAGGAATAAGGCATTTAAACAACTCAGGGAAAATATGAGTATGAGCAATCTGGTGGAATATAAGAAAGCAAGAGCTAAAACAAGAAGAATAATTAAAAATGCAAAGAGAAATGGATGGAGAGAACTTTGTTCTACCATAGGAAAAGATACGCCTATGGATAAAATATGGAATATGTTAAGGAGTATGAATGGAAAAGGAAAGAAGTCAGCTACAATTCCTGTTTTAATTGAAGAAGAAAACATTGCAGTAGATATAGATAAAGCAAACATGTTAGGTAAGGTTTTAGAAAGAGCACATAGAATAGAATTGGGGGAAGAATATGAGATAAGGAAAAAGGAAATTTTAGATAAAAACCCAGATATTATGAAGAAAAGAATGAGCAATAAGAGCTGTATGGATTTAGAGTTTTCACTTACTGAACTGAAAGTAGCGTTACAAAAATGTGCAAATACCACTCCTGGGATTGATAAAGTAAGTTATACAATGATAAAGCATTTGTTAGATTGTATGTTATTAAAGATACTTGAGTTGTATAACAAAATATGGACGGAAGGAATTATTCCAAAAATATGGAAGAAAGCTGTAGTAATCCCAATTGTTAAGCCAGGAAAAAATTCAACAAACCCAGGAAGTTATCGTCCAATTGCACTGACTTCAAATTTATGTAAATTAATGGAAAAGATTATTGTTCATAGATTAACATATGATCTAGAGAAAAGGGGTACATTTAGTAAGTTCCAATGTGGATTTAGAGGCAAGAGATCAACAATGGATGCATTAATCAAGATCAGTAATGAAGTAGAGAAGACGATAACTATGAAAGAAATTATGGCAGTAGTGTATTTTGATATAGAAAAAGCGTATGATATGGTATGGAGAGAAGGGTTGTTAATTAAAGCATCAAGGATAGGAATAGATGGAAATATGTATAATTGGTTATGTCAATTTTTGTATGAAAGAACATTTGTAGTTCAAGTGGGAGCCTGTCAATCGTTAAATTATACGGCAGAAAATGGCATTCCTCAAGGGAGTGTTATAAGTCCAATTCTTTTTAACATTATGATTAATGATATTTTTGATAATTTGGGATATGGTGTGGGATGTGCATTGTATGCTGATGATGGGGCTATTTGGAAGAGAGGAAGAAATACAAAACAAGTGATTTCAGGGATTCAAATGGCTATTAAAAAGGTGGAAGATTGGAGTATAGAATGGAGTTTTAAAATTTCTACTAGTAAATCATGTTTCATGATATTTAGCAGGAAAAAAGATTTTAAGGAATTAGTTTTATATGGGAAACCTTTAGAACAAGTTAAAACATTTAAATATTTGGGAATGTGGTTAGATGGGAGATATACATGGAAAAAACATATTGAGGAAATTGATAAAAAATGCAGGAGGATCTTAAATGTGATGAGGGCAATAGCTGGGAAAGAATGGGGAGCAGAAAGAGACTCAATGCTAACAATATATCAAGCCTTGATCAGATCAACAATTGATTATGGTAGCATAATTAATGGGTCAGCTTCAGAAACATTATTAAAAAGTATAGATAGAATTCAATATAGAGCTCTTAGAATATGTTTAGGAGCAATTAAAACAACACCGGTTAATGCATTATTAGTAGAAGCGAATGAAATGCCATTGAAATTAAGGAGAGAGAAATTGTCTTTGGTATTTTGGACATTTTTAAAGAGTTACACTGGAGAAAATATAGCTAAAGATATTTTAAATAATTGTTGGGAATACTGTAATACCGAGAGAGGAGGATATGGATGAAAGATAAATAAGTTAACAAAGAAATATAAGATTGCAAATATTGAATGTAGTAAGTCTCCTATATGGGGAGAGGTTCCGAAATGGATTATACCTGAGGTTAGAATTGATTTAGGAATATTAGATAAGAAACGGGAATGGGAGGAAATGGGTATGTTGGAATATAAAGTTAAAAAGTACATACAGGAAAGATTCTATGCAAGTATGCACATTTACACTGATGGATCTAAAGATCCAAGAACAGGAATTACAGGAATAGGAGTGTATATCTCAGAGTTTAAAATATCAATATCGAAACGACTAACATCTAAACTGTCAATATATACGGTGGAAATGGTTGCTATTATAATAGTATTAACATGGGTAGAGGAGGTAAGACCAGACAGAATAGTGATATGCTCTGATTCTGCTTCTGTTTTAACATCACTAGTTACTCATTGTACGGCCAGAGAAGATTTGATGAGTGAAATATTATCATTATTATGGAGAATACAAAGAAAAGGGGTAGAAATTGGGTTCTGTTGGGTACCAGCGCATGTAGGAGTAGCTGATAATGAATTTGCTGATGAATTAGCAAAAAATGCTTTAAAAAGGGAAGAAATAGATTTTAATATTCCATTAAGTAAAAGTGAAGTTAAAACTATTATTAAGGAAAATATTATCAAAGAGTGGCAGGAAAACTGGAATACAGATAATAAAGGGCGGTATTTATATAATATTAAAAAAATGGTAGAATCTAAGAAAAGTATAAATGGTAGAAATAGAAAAGAAGAAGTCATATTGACTAGGATGAGACTTGGTCACTCAAGATTGAATGCAACACTCTTTATAATTGGAGCTCATGAGACTGGTTTATGTGAGAATTGTGGGGAGAAAGAAACAGTGGAGCATGTGTTATATGATTGTAAAAGATATGAAGAGGAAAGAAAGGATTTGATAACCTATTTAAATGGAAAAGGGAAAGTTAATAAGGATTTGGCATATTTGTTGGGTTATGAGTTTAATAAAGATAGAGTAGGATATAGAATACTAATAGAATATATATATATAGTACTGGATTAAGTGAAAGGATTTAAATATAGAATAAGGATGCTTTGATCTATTCCAGATTTTATAGTCCTGTCTGTAGGAGCTGAACACGCAGCGACAGGTGGGCTATGGGAAATGGAATGAGATGAAGCATCAAATGATTAAATAAGGATGGATATTTGAGGAAGAAGTAAAGAAATAATAAAATAAGGAAAATCTGATCATAAGAAATCGTGACTGCATAACAGCAAAGGTAGGTGGCGATATGCACTAAGATTGCAACGCGCCAAAAAACGGAAGAAGAAGAAGAAGAAGAAGAAGAAGAAGAAGAAGAAGAAGAAGAAGAAGAAGAAGATGATGGCGCCCGCCATATTAACACATGTGGAGATGGAGGCAAACGTTGTCCGATACACGATTTTATTTTTTGATCAGTACTTTTGTCTTAAGGCTTAATCTTTTGCAGCCCGTGCCTCAATAGCGCCCGTTAGAGGTGTACAAATAATCGAAATCACGCAAGTCTACGAATACATGACAATTCACATGTCATATACAGTATTAAATTAAATAATGGCTTTAAGAAGCGAAGACGTCAGAACGCAAATTGAGTCGGCGAACACGCAGCAGAGCGTACCGGTTGTGGCGCCCGTTAGCGATCTTATCGACTTGGACCCGCATTCAGAGCTGTTCCTCGAAACTCCTCCGCCTGATGTTGTAAGCTCTATCAATGCTTGCTTTGAGCAGTTCACCAGCACCTTTGAAAGGAGACGAGATGCTTCAGTCCCCAGATCTTCTTCGGACAGGTAAAAAAAAGAAAGTAAATATGGACATGGAAACTATGCTGTGCTGCTTCTCATCCTCTTTTAAAGTCTCGCTGGCTGCAGTAAATCATTTTGGTCACTAACTCATGATCTTTGATCATCAAAATGACATTTTTAAAGCTTTTCCCCTTTGAAAAATATTTATTTGTGCCTTAAAATTGCTTCATTTAGTTTACGCGGATTAAAGGAATAGTTCACTTTATGAAAGACAGTTGATAGCCATTGACTACTATAACTTACCATGGTAACGTTACCAATGAAGTCAATGCCTGCCTACCGTCAACTGTCTAGTTACCATCAACATTCTTCAAAATATCTTATGCTGCGTCTCATTCGCCACTCATATGTAGGTCCACTCTTTTTGTGAAGAGAAAGTACATACTTTTGAGTGTGTATTAGAAGAGTAGACACACTCCGGGGAGTGGGACATACTCTCTCTCTCAAGCATTAGTTACACGCATCCTGTCACGTAAACTGATCTGTCAATCACCTTGTAAAAGATACAATTCTCCACAATTAATTGCCTATTGTATTGGAGAGAAATGCAGCAGCACTTTATCTGCCAGTCGCGGGTCTTTCATGCAGAGACTCTCCTCCATTCAGCCAGTCTTTGTGTAACCAGGCTAAAAACTCATAGAGATTAAAATTTATTTTACAAGAGTGACCTGTAAAATGTGGTTAAAGAATTACCAAAGACCCTTAGAGAAGCTAACATCACGCTTATATTGAAGAGAGGTAAAAATCCTGATTTATGTTCTTCTTATAGGCCAATAGCATTACTGAATGTGGACCGGAAATTGCTTTCTAAAATTTTAGCATTGCGTCTTGAAAAAATTCTTCCTACAATAATCGGGATCGATCAAACAGGATTTATACAGGGTAGAAAATAACTCATCTGATAATATAAGACTACTTTTAAATATTATATATGCCTTCAAAGGGAAATCCATAGATGGGCTAGTGCTTTCTTTGGATGCAGAGAAGGCGTTTGATCGTATTGAGTGGTCCTACCTTTTCTTTGTTTTGGAAAAGTTTGGTCTTGGTGAAAATTTTCTGCAATGGATTAGCGTGCTATAGACTGACCCACGCTCTGCCGTATTGACAAATGGCTTCAGATCTGATTATTTTCCTATACATAGAGGCACCATGCAGGGTTGCCCCTTGTCACCACTTTTGTTTGCGATGGCCATAGAGCCTCTAGCTGAAGCAATCACATCGTCAACATCTATTTCGGGTTTGCAGATAGGACTTAAACATCACAAGATTGCGCTCTACACTGATGATGTACTGCTTTTTTAATCTGAGCCCGAGAAGTCAGTTCCTGCTCTGATCAATTTGATCAACAAGTATAGTACCTTTTCTGGTTATAAAATTAATTTAGCTAAATCCGAAGCTATGCCTTAGGTACTCTCATCTCCATACCTAACATTACACTCTGTTTTCCTTTTAAGTGGTCGCCCCTAGGCTTTATTTATCTTGGCATTTCTATTTCTTCGTCCTTGAAGCAGATGTATGATTCTAATTTTGTTCCTTTATTTGAGAAAATACGGCTGGACTTAGAACGTCAGTTCCTTGCCAGTATCTTGGCTAGGTCGAATAGCACTTATAAAGATGATTGTTTTACCAAAACTATTATACCCTATTCGAATGGTTCCTATTCTATTTTCAAATAGGACATTAAAGGGCCTTAACAGCTGGCTAACTTCCTTTTAAATGGGGTAAGCGTTGGCCTAGACTAAAAATGTCAGTACTCTATCTTCCAAGTTCTATGGGGAGGGGGTTGGATTTTCCTAATATTAAGATGTATCAGTTAAGTTCTCATCTGAAATTAGGGCTGGGCGATAAAACGATAATTATCGGGATGTAATTTTCCTCGATAAAACGATATCAAGAGGTCGATAAATGTTCGATAATGTTTATGCGTCAAAAGCGGAACGAAACTCATTTAAACCGCGCGCGCCACACGGAGCATTTATCCGCTCGGGTCAAAGTCCAACTGGCAGTGCCATAGATATCATATAGAGACTAGATACCCTATTGGCCGCTGGAAAACGAGAAATCCGGCCGCCATCTTGAACCGGCCGTATTCCTAGTCTCGTTGCGTGGCAGCAGATGAGATGCCAGAGCACTGTGGAGCATTTTCCTGTTCTAATCGCCGGTAGGGATGGGACGAAATATCGTTTGACGAAATATCGCGATACAAAACGTGACGAAACGCATCGAGGTAAAAAAAAATGTATCGCGAAATAAAGATAGATGCATGATTTGCGTAGTATATAAATAATTTAGTGTATTATATGTGTGTGTGTATGTATATGGGGTAGAGATACAGTCTATGGTGGCAGGAAGCAGGATAAAACTAAATGAAAAAAAAAAAATTATATCCGGAACTGCGGCACGTCATCACATCGAGACAACGCATGTTGCAACAACAACACTGCAGTCTACAGCGAGCTAACAAATATCAGCATTAGTACCAACTGCCTTGCCCCCAAACAGCCGACCATGGAGTCAAATGAGGTCGAAATTGAGGACGCTCCGCCTGGATACAAGTCATATGTCTGGCAGTATTTTGGCTTTCTCATTAAAAGACAAAGACGGCAATAGAGTAACTGACAAGACTAAGACTGTGTGTAAGCTATGCAATGCTGTCATTCCGTACACCACATCCAACACTTTAAACATGAACCACCACCTTCAACGTCACCATAAAAATGTGAAGACGGCCCCGGAGAAAACGAACCTACCGAAGGGACAGCTGACCATGAAACAAGCGCTGACACCAACTCTACCTCCGTCAAGTCCGCGTGCAAAACAGATAACCAGGCTCATTGGCGAATTCATAGCGGACTATATGGCTCCATTTAACATGGTAGAGAACAGAAAATTCATCCAAATGTTCAAAGTGCTGGAGCCTAAGTTAAGATGCCATGTCGAGGACATTTTTCAGAGAAGGTAATCCCGGAAATTTACAATGAAACCAAACAAAGCGTGAAAGAGTGTCTAAAAAATGCCGACTGTGTTGCCCTGACCACCGACAGCTGGACCTCGCGTGCAACGCAGAGTTATGTTACCATCACGGCAGAAGTCATCAACGAGAAATGGGAGAAAAAAAGCTTTGTGTTGCAAACTCGTGAGCTGAGTGAAAGTCACACTGGTGTTAACATAGCTCACGTGTTGAGAAATGCACTGAGTGAGTGGGAGCTAACAAGGCCACAAACAACCATTGCTTGTGTTACAGACAACGCAAGCAATATGGACATTGCTGTGAGAGAGAGCGGTCTCCACCCTCACATCAAGTGCTTAGCGCATGTTGTGAATCTGGCCAGTAAGCGAGGCTTGGCTGTATCCCGCGTCGCACGCCTTCTTGGTCGTGTGCGAAGAATAGTTACGTTCTTTCACAAGAGCACCACGGCCACCGCCGTCCTGACCAACAAGCAAACCCAGTTAGAGCTGCCTCGGCATAAACTCATTACCGATGTCCAGACCAGGTGGAATAGCACATACGATATGCTGGCGCGCTACCTGGAGCAACAAGCAGCTGTCTCAGCAGTGCTGAGCTGCCCAGGAATCCGAAGAAATGCGAGAGAAATTGACACTCTGGATAACGCTGATATATCAGACGTCGAGGACATAGTGAAACTGCTTAAGCCACTAAAGACAGCCACAACAGTTGTCTGTGATGAAAAAGAGCCTACTGTTTCACTAATAATGCCACTGAAGTTCATGATCGAGCAAAGCATGTCACCAGACGAAAATGACACACAGACCATCGCCAACATGAAAAGCGCTATTCTACTCGACATCTCGGACCGGTACTCTGGGGACTGTAATGACATGCTGCAGGAGTGCACTGCGCTTGACCCACGTTTCCGAAGCCTGTCCCATCTGAATGATGAACAACGCGAGTCCGTCTATGCCCGAATACGTGAAAAAGCTTCAGCACTTCATGAGCAGCGCAACCAGGTAGGCTAACTTTTATTGAAAAAAAAAAAATGAGGTGCCCTGCGCGCGTGTGTAACTCTGTATGTGTAGGCCAGAGCCCGAAAACTTATTTCTCCATATATTTTTTTTGTTTTGTTTTTTTTATTAGTCGATTAGAGAGAGAGAGACTGTGTGTGTGTGTGTGTGTGTGTGTGTGTGTGTGTGTGTGTCTGTGAGAGAGGGAGGGAGTAAAGGATTGAAAGACAGAAATGTTTGAGCTAGTTTTATTTTATTTTTTCAGACCAGTGATATAGATGAAAGAACCACTAGGGCCAGTGCTTCAACATCAGGGGCAGCAGCAGAGCAGGCCAGGGTCATGGTTGAGGAAGCACAGGGAGCAGAGCAGAGCCAGGAAGAGCCAGTGGAAGGAGAAAGGCAGATGCAGGACATGACACAGCCACCCCCACCAAAAAAGACAGCGTTAGAAGATCTCCTTGGGAGCTCCTACACTACTGTTGTTGAGACAGTGCAGTCCAGCAGAGGGATTGAAATGGAGATACTCTCCTACAGAAATGGGATTCCTATCCCGCTCAACAGTAGTCCACTTGAGTGGTGGAAAGTTAATGCATATGCTTACCCCATACTTGCCCCCCTTGCAAAAGCCTACCTTTGCATTCCTGCTACATCAGTGCCCAGTGAGCGCGTCTTTTCCACAGCAGGAGACATTGTGTCCGCTCAAAGATCACTGATTACACCAGAACATGTTGATATGTTAGTTTTTTTGAAGAAGAACCAGTCCTAAGATAACTTAACCTACTGTAGGATTAGAGCAGCACTAAGGGAGTGTTCTTGTTTGTGTTTGGCCAGTTAGGCCTTGTGTTTCCCTGTTTGCAGCTGAAACAAAAATAAAAAAGTTGTTGTTATACAGTAATATTTTTTTCTCTTGTTTTCCTTTTTTGATATCGTATCGTGACGTATCGTGACCCTGACATATCGAGGTGCATCGTATCGTGAGTTTAAGTGTATCGTCCCATCCCTAATCGCCGGACCACCGAAAA